GTCTTGTACTTTCCCAGCTGTATAGCCAGCGATGAAATCCGGTGTCCCTATAGCGGCACCCAGGTAGCGTGCTCCATCCGTGACCACTTCAATGCCAGTTCCTGCAAAGACACTGTGGGCCAGGTTGAGCAGGTCAGGCTTGACGAGGAGGAGAGTCTTCGAGGCGTTGACATGGTAACCGTAAGGTTTCCCGGTCTCGTCCACATCATCCCACCAGCGTCGAAGGGCCCGTAGCTTGCCTGCACCACTTGAATCATCGGCATACCACAATTGACGGATGTCGGCGTGGGTTGTGCGGAGTGTACGTACCAAGCTAGTGTACGTACCAAGCTAGTGTACGTACCAAGCTAGTGTACGTACCAAGCTAGTGTACGTACCAAGCTAGTGTACGTACCAAGCTAGTGTACGTACCAAGCTAGTGTTCGTACCAAGCTAGTGTACGTACCAAGCTAGTGTTCGTACCAAGCTAGTGTACGTACCAAGCTAGTGTTCGTACCAAGCTAGTGTTCGTACCAAGCTAGTGTACGTACCAAGCTAGTGTTCGTACCAAGCTAGTGTACGTACCAAGCTAGTGTACGTACCAAGCTAGTGTACGTACCAAGCTAGTGTACGTACCAAGCTAGTGTACGTACCAAGCTAGTGTACGTACCAAGCTAGTGTACGTACCAAGCTAGTGTACGTACCAAGCTAGTGTACGTACCAAGCTAGTGTACGTACCAAGCTAGTGTACGTACCAAGCTTTTTTTTTTTTTTTCAAAGAACTGTCATGGATTTTTTACTTTCGCTTGTTTGAATCTGCAAGATGACGTAGACCATGGTACCACTATCAGGATTTTTTTTTTTTTTGATTGAGTAATTATACTAAAAATGTTTGGCACCTATGATCAGGGGATGGCCCACGCCTGGTAAAAAAAGTAAGTAATTAAAAAAAATAAAAAATAAGAGGTTCTGTGTTCCGGCTCTCCGCCTTCTCCGCGAACATAAGAGAACTAGAGGAGAACAAACAAACACAAGAAGCAAGAATGACACGAAAAGCAGAAATTATGAGAACATGGTATAAATGAGCACGGCCATCAACCTCAACAGGGGATAGCCGCCTCGGCAACAACAAGAGCAGCTGAGTCCGCGGCAAAGACCGGTGCATAGAGCCGCCTAGCACCCCTCAGGCACATCACACTGGATCGGACCAGGGCAAAGCTGATTTGACACCGGATCGAAGCCATCACGGCACTGTAGGCCTCTCCGGTCTTGTCGGCGATGAGGGACGCTATCCTCTTGTACAGAGAGGTGGCAGATTTCCCCATGCCTCCCGTAGTGGAGAACACGGCGGGAACAAAGCTGGAGTGTTCCACTTCTCGGATTCTCTGCTCATAGGCACGGCGCTTGGCTTTTTCGTGACGGGTGTAGCTAGCAGCAAGTGAGTTGAGGCGATTCGAGGACGCAAAAGGGTTAAACACCCGGACATCAATGTAGGTGCGCTCGAACCGCCCTCCCCAAATGCCACTAGCCACCACGTCAAGGCGGGCTTGGTCGTCGCCCACAGCAGTACGGTACCGGAGCTGCTCTCCAGTGAGTGGCTGCAAATGTGGCTCAATAGCCACCTGGTGGCCAACACGCTTCGCAAGGCGAGCTGTCACATCGCGTACTTCGTTGTGGCGGAGGGTTGGGAAACCGCCTAACGGGCAGGAGAGGGCATGGCTGACGGTGAACTGCTGTCCACAGGAACATGATGTTGGCAGTCGTACTGGGTGCCAGCCATACCGGAGGTGCACAGCATCGCGGAACTCAGCCTTCGTGAGGGTGAAGCCGTGGGCCTTTAGGGGCCGGCACGTGAGCCAGCTGGATGCCCCCCGCTCCGAAGCAAGGTCGATGGTACGTTGAACCTCTGGAGGTGCGGCAGAATGCAGAGCGACGGCCTCGGCTTGGAGTGATGTCTTTGCCTTCGCCCTCAACAGCTGCTTGTTCTTCCGCACTTCCTGCAGGGCATCGCCAAGCGTGGCAGTCTGCTGCTGAATGCGCCGCACCAGGGGGCCAACGATGGTCTTGGAGTGGGCGTACTGGGCCCCGAGGGAGGCAGGTGTGATGAGCCCCAGACCACCATGTCGACAAGGCAGAGCCAGAAGCTGTCGCTCATCATCGTTGACGGTTCTGCCACCTAAGAGAGCGGGGATGAACTTGTTTCTGATGGAATCCTCCAACGGCTGCATGTACAAATGTAGGTCAGCCATGACTCGAGACAGGAAGGACCATTTGCTTCGCAGGCCGTGAACAAACGCTGCATATGCAGCTTGGGGCTGTGACGAAGTAATAGTGCTGAGCGACATCACCTCCTCTACCCAGGATTGAACCTTGCGCTCCATAAAGCAGCGGGAGAATTCTGCTGAGCCAAGCGCGGCTCCCAGATGCCGACATCCATCTGTGCGGATGTCAATTCCAGTTCCAGCAAATATGCTGGTGGCCTCATCCAGAAACTGTGGCTTGACAAGGAGGACAGACTTGGTCGGGTTGAGGAAATAGCCGTATGATGGACCACTCTCGTTGAGGCGATCCCACCAGATTCGTACTGCTTGCAACTTGCCTCCTGCGGCAGAATCATCCGCAAACCAAGACTGCGTGGCACCGTCTGTTGCTGCTTCTTCGATGAGGGGGAGAACACCGAGAGCGTACATCGCCATAGCGACCGGGTCGCCTTGGGTGGTACCTTCGCTGGACTTGATACACTCACCGCTCACGAACAGATTGGCCGGCTCTCTGTATGTGTTGATGACTGTCGGAGCTAAGGACGGGCAGGTGTGTTGGATGTTCCGCATGCATACTTCTCTGTTCAGACAATTGAACGCATTAGTTGCATCAGCCAGTAGGATTGCTTCCGTGTCATCCAGCTGATGGAGGTCATTCATGGCGTGAATGGCTGCTTCCACACCTCCGTCTTGGCCAGCACATAGTTGGAGACTTCCGGCTGCACGTTGAATTTCGTCATTCGTGATGGAGAGGATGGCTTTCCCCATGATCCGGCGAAGGACCTCACCTATGCCGATGGGCCGCACGCCTGGCTTCTTATCAAGGGGAATCAGGCGACAGGCGACGTAGGCTTCCAGGCTTGATGGATGGACATAGGTCGTTGCTAGCCGTCGTGCACATGCTGCAAGTGTACGTACCAAGCTAGTGTACGTACCAAGCTAGTGTACGTACCAAGCTAGTGTACGTACCAAGCTAGTGTACGTACCAAGCTAGTGTACGTACCAAGCTAGTGTACGTACCAAGCTAGTGTACGTACCAAGCTAGTGTACGTACCAACCTAGTGTTCGTACCAAGCTAGTGTACGTACCAAGCTAGTGTACGTACCAAGCTAGTGTACGTACCAAGCTAGTGTACGTACCAAGCTAGTGTACGTACCAAGCTAGTGTACGTACCAAGCTAGTGTACGTACCAAGCTAGTGTACGTACCAAGCTAGTGTTCGTACCAAGCTAGTGTACGTACCAAGCTAGTGTACGTACCAAGCTAGTGTACGTACCAAGCTAGTGTACGTACCAAGCTAGTGTACGTACCAAGCTAGTGTACGTACCAAGCTAGTGTACGTACCAAGCTAGTGTACGTACCAAGCTAGTGTACGTACCAAGCTAGTGTACGTACCAAGCTAGTGTACGTACCAAGCTAGTGTACGTACCAAGCTAGTGTACGTACCAAGCTAGTGTACGTACCAAGCTAGTGTACGTACCAAGCTAGTGTACGTACCAAGCTAGTGTACGTACCAAGCTAGTGTACGTACCAAGCTAGTGTACGTACCAAGCTAGTGTACGTACCAAGCTAGTGTACGTACCAAGCTAGTGTCCGTACCAAGCTAGTGTCCGTACCAAGCTAGTGTCCGTACCAAGCTAGTGTCCGTACCAAGCTAGTGTACGTACCAAGCTAGTGTACGTCTTGTCAGAATATGTGCTAAGTGAGTTCCACTGTAGTAAGTTGTAATAATTCCACTCTAGTAAGTTGTAATAATTCCACTCTAGTAAGTTGTAATAATTCCACTCTAGTAAGTTGTAATAATTCCACTCTCTATGTATTCTATGCAGTGGATGAGACTAAGCAGATACTTGCTGAAGAAAAGGAAACGGAGCGACGTGAAGCAATTGCCCGGGCTGAGTTAGAAGAAGAAAAAAGACGAGAGCTGGCTGCTTTGTATAAAGACCCTCCTCCTGCACCTGATCATGACCGGTGGACGCCCATTGATCACCACAACATTAGCTATGATGAGCTAGTGGTCGAGCGGCGCAAGCAACATGTGCGCAGCTTTGTCAGGAAGAACATGGTAAGGATGTCAGGTGCACAGGCGGCTTGCTCACATTTCCTCTAAGGTATCTCGTGTCGATTTATACCATACCCTGTTAACCCTTCTTCTGTTAGCGTGTCAAGCAGCTTGCTACACCATCTAAATATTCCGCTCTTTTTCTGACCTTGTTGCGGGCCACGTTTTTTTGTTGCTGCGGAACTGGTGACCTGGCGCAAGGTTATGAACGTAAATCCTGCTAAAGTTAATTGGGGTTTTCAGTCTTTTATAACCATTCCAGTTGGCCTGGACATGCACATTGGTTATTTCGTAGCTGGGGGAGTACCCACACATGTGGAAAAGTCAGACTGACTCTCTCTCTCTCTCCCTCTCTCTCTCTCTCCTCTCTCCTCTCTCTCTCTCTCTCTCTCTCTCTCTCTCTCTCTCTCTCTCTCTCTCTCTCTCTCTCTCTCTCTCTCTCTCTCTCTCTCTCTCTCTCTCTCTCTCTCTCTCTCTCTCTCTCTCTCTCTCTCTCTCTCTCTCTCTCTCTCTCTCTCTCTCTCTCTCTCTCTCTCTCTCTCTCTCTCTCTCTCTCTCTCTCTCTCTCTCTCTCTCTCTCTCTCTCTCTCTCTTGGAGACTGTGACATGTGTATTGCATCTGTACTGTACTGCAGGAGGCTACCGGGTTGAGGAACAGCTACACGTATCGCCCAATCATCAGGTCAACGGATTCCTCCGTTCATGGACAGCACGTGCACACGTACAGCTGCCAGAGGCACAACCGCAATGCCAGCCGCAAAATTGCGTTCAGAAAGAGCAAGGTATTGTGGCTATTCCGAATTTGGCTTTGTTCGTGTGAGGCAGAATATGCAGGCGTAAAACAAAAGGGAGAGAGAGAGGACAGGGGATTTTGTATGAAGTATAAATCCACCCGCCCAAGCATGACTGGAGTGGTCAGTTGAATACAGTAACTGACTCGTGTGCAGAGCGACACTCTTCGCATGCAGGCTTGTATGTGCATGGTGTTGAGGGCCAGCCATTGATGTTGAGGATCCCGTCGTCAGCATTTGATATTGTTGAACAGCATTGCACGGTGTGTGTGTGTGTGTGTGTGTGTGTGTGTGTGTGTGTGTGCGTGTGTGTGTTGGCAGGGGCGTCGCACACGGTACGGTCACTACGGTATTGACCATACCACTATTTGCCCCACGTACCCCGTGAATCAATAAAATGCACTGATCTGGGCTCTAAATTTCCAAAATTTTCGGCTCAGCCACCTCTCCTCCACGAGTAAATTGTACTTCAGATGGCTGACCGTACCACACTAAAATACCTTCCGACACCACTGGTTGGGGGAAGGGACGGGGTAGGGGGGGGGGGGTGGAGGGGGCAGGGTAGGGAGATGATAATTGTGATACTGTTGGTCACACTGACCGTTCCTTGCTGTGTATCTGACTTGTCTGTAATCTTTCAAACGAATCAGCTGCATTCGTGTTTGTGCTGACGGTGCTGGTGCTACACAAGCTTTGTGCTCATGTCTGCCTGTTTGTCTATCCGCCTGTCTGTTCCGTTTGTCCGTACACCTGCCTGTATTTTCTCTTTCACTACTAGCGTGAGCGGTATGCAGGCAACAAAGTCATTGATCGTCAAGGCATGGGGAGTGAGAGTGGCAAAGAGGTGAAGGAAATGAACGGCCAGCAGAAAAGAAATGCCACAAGCGATGAAACGGGAGATGTCACTTGTATGGAGAAGAAGGCACGAGCAGTGCAAAGTTTGGACGATGAATCCTCTTCGGATGAAGAGCGCACCGTGCCATGTTCTGCCGTCTTTCTGACAAAAGACTATCCGTATGGAGAGCTGGCGCCTACACTACGGCCTGAGAAGAAACAAAAGTGGCTGACAGGCGGTGGTTTTCATACGCTGCCAAAGAAAACCCTCAAGGAGATGCTACGCACGGTGAAGCAGGTGGACCCATATCGCACCAAGGAACTATCAGAGGTAATTCTCCCTATGTACCGTGTGTTCTGGAATTGGGACCGGTCTATTGTGTGAATCCTTCTCAAATCCGGCAAAATTTACTTAGGGCTCACCAACTACTATAATACCTTGGCCAGTAGTGCTGGAAATAGGGTACACTCACAACAGTGTCTACATGGCAGTTGTATCAACATGTGCTATACATGAAAGTATTATGATAACAGCATGGTTTCAGACCGACATTATCAGGGCTATTGAGATACACAGAACAGCGCGGGCAAGCAAGGCTAGCTAGTCGCTTGCCTACTTTTGCAATCATCATTCGCAATCAAGGTGCAATGAAGGTGTTGCAGGCTGATGATTGCGAATGCATGAAACTCAGAGTAGTGTAGACTAACTATCCTTGCAAGTTGCCGGTGTTGTTCTGTGTATTACGTTCTGCCTCGGTGGTGGTGAGCACTGTCAGCACACCGGGTGCATCCTCCGAGGCAGGTCTATTGAGATAGTACATGTACATTGTGTGAGTTGTACCTCACAGCAAGTACTAGTAACCCACGTACAAGTTGATATGAGTACTCAGCGGCATCTGCACAACTTTCACACTGCGCACAGCCTACACACACCGTTGGACCTTTGGAAAGCCCATCGCCAAAGGCGATGATAGATATTAGGCGAGGCAGTAATTCTTGTGTCAGGATAAGTCATTCGGACGGCGAAAGTCACGGGCGCAGACACAGATGAATACTCTTGGTTGGGGCTGGCTTCCAACGGCTAAGCTCGCGCCAGTCCCTCCGGTAATGAGCAAGGTGGTACCAGTGCGCCTCCGAGATGCCGGTCAGCCTACACACACGCACGCATGCACGCACACACACACACACACACACACACACACACACACACACACACACACACACACACACACACACACACACACACACACACACACACATACACATATATACATACACATACACACACGTATAAACATCTACAGGGTCTAAAAACATTAATGATTATGCATGTTCTTGAGGCCGGTGTAGCGTTCACCTTCTTGTGGTGTGTGGTGGTGTTTATGCAGCAATGGATTGAACATATCCTACACGGAAACAAGTTTGTGCCGCCAGTCCAGAGGTAGGTCCTGTTTCTCATGACGTCATTCTCTTAGACCATCCCACTATACCTGTCTACCTGTCTGTGTATTGTATGGCAAATCCGTGGCTCGGGTGCACAGCACAATAGCAGGGGCGTCGCACACGGTACGGTCAGTGACTCACTACGGTATTGACCGTACCACTTTTGCCCCAGATACCCCGTGAATCAACAAAATACACTGATCTGGGATGTAAAATTCCAAAATTTTCGGCTCAGCCACCTCTCCCCCACGAGTAAATTGTACTTCAGTTGGCTGACCGTACCACACTAAAATACCTTCCGACGCCCCTGAATAGGTATGGGTATTGGCACAGTTGTGGTTAAAGCTATGACCTAGCATGGTCATGTATACTTGTCATAGTACACTGTCATTTACAACTAAACTTCATCTTTCTCCCCCACCCCCTCTCCCTTGCTTCTCTGTCTCTGTCTCTCTCTCTCTCTGTCTCTCTCTCTCTGTCTCTCTCTCTCTCTGTCTGTCTCTCTCTCTCTCTCTCTCTCTCTCTCTCTCTCTCTCTCTCTCTCTCTCTCTCTCTCTCTCTCTCTCTCTCTCTCTCTCTCTCTCTCTCTCTCTCTCTCTCTCTCTCTCTCTCTCTCTCTCTCTCTCTCTCTCTCTCTGTCTCTCTCTCTGTCTCTCTCTGTCTCTCTTTCTCTCTCTCTCTCTCTCTCTCTCTCTCTCTCTCTCTCTCTCTATCTCTCTCTCTCTCTCTCTCTCTCTCTCTCTCTCTCTCTCCTGCAGAGAGGTTTTCTCATGGAATAGCCGTGAAAAGGACATGGAGCGATATCGCCAACCACCAACAAACTTCGGAGCTCCCGAACCACCGGCTACAATTTACCTCGCAGGAGATACTCTGAGGCAGGAACAGGATGAAGACGAAGCATCTCGCTTTGAGAAATGGCAATCGGCAGTGCTCCCGTCCCATGACTTGTCTCGTGGTGGACAAGCGAAAACCCATCGTGTCGGAATCCAGTCAGAGTTGCAAACTGGACCTTCCAATCAAATTGATCGTGTGAAAGGACTCCGCAAGGATGGCGCAAAGAAAGCCAGTCTAAGATATTGCAGTGAGTTGAGAAATGAGTTATTGTACTGATATTGGACATGCATCATGAAGACCCGCGGCTTAGCCAAGTCCACTGAATCAGTAGGGGCCCGCGGTTATGGAGAACAAATAGCTTCGACATCTGAATTGTAGCGACAGAACTATTTGCAGTAAGATAGAGCGTGTTTTGATGACCATTCGATAGACTAAAGTACATAGAGCTACATATGGAGTCTTCAAACCTGTGTGGTCTTCACACCATTCAGCTGAATCCCAGTGCACACTTTGTCCCCCCCCCCCCCCTCTCCGCGCCAATTCCTGGTATCCCCATACAAAGCACACTCGTGTGCCGTGTCAGGATCTGAAAAAGGCGTTTTACAATACACTAGCCTACATTGTAACGTTATTTCTCTGCTTGTTGAATTCTTTGTGTGTAGCATCGAGTATACCCGCTCTCGGGGTTGTGCGTGACCCGTGTGTGGACACACTTGCTAACACTCTGGACAGCTCGCTGTCAGCGCAGACAATCAGAGCGGAGGAGGCAACCCTGCCAGAGCTCGGCGCCGTGGCAGGATACATGCCCGGTCCGGACACCCTGCATAGTATCAAGCTGCACGCCAACAGTATTCCACGGGATACCCTGTGCCGCGCTCATGCTCCTCCGCATAGTTCGTTCAGGTGAGTCAGTATGCAATGTACTTGTGAATCGGCATGTATCTTGTGTGTTTGCAGATTGCCTGGACTACAGTGTTGTGTGTTGTGAGCATCTAACCCTACAGCCTACAATGCTGCGCAATGAAATCCAATCGAATGAGTCAACTTTTCTATTTGCGCCCAGTGAACGTGCCCCCCAGTGTCCGCAGATATAGGGCCGGTCGGATTCCATTGAGCAGCACTGAACAATGATATGTTGTATGTACTTTGAAAGTACTTTAACTCGAGGTGTTGAATCATGTTTTCTTGTTTTCACAGAACCCACTTGCCGTACCCTGGTCCCCTCAGCAATGTACCAGTGCCTGAATGCGTCGCATCATCATCTGCACCACTGCAAGAGGAAGCAGCAGTGGATATTTATCGTTCAACCTGACGTGGCCTGTGCCTGAATTGCTCTCCCGGAACCGAACAAGTTTAGTCCAGTGTCAGAGTAGAGTGTCGTTTTTTCTTGACCGGATGTTATCACAGCTGTACTGACTCCACATGACCGGTCTGGACTGCACTACAATGTCATGATGATGCTGTATAGTGGCTCCTGTTGTTACTATCCACATGCCGTGTCAGTGATATTTTTGGATTGTTTCAAGTCATTCCCTGATACCCAGTGTTGTTTTCTTCGTACTTGAGTAGGCGGATTCACAGAACCCTTTTGTTATTATGAACTGATTCAGTCGCTGCTTGATTTTTGATTGAATAATTTCCAATGCTCTATCTTGAGTAGAAGTATCCATGTAGAGTTCAATGATTCTACACGATTTGTCAGTTTGGAGAAGTACTTCAAGTTCCGTATTTTCAACCTAAAGCTGTAAAGCTCTTTGAAACATCGTGTGTGTACTTGTGATGGTGATGTTCGGGTGAAACACAGTGTGGTGTTTTGTAGATCCCGGCGATGGCCTGGTTATCCATTGCTCTCTGTCGCCTTCCGTATTGTATGTGCTTGGATGTGTGTGTGTGTGTGGGGGGGGGGTGCATACGCATATGTGTGTGTGTGTGTGTGTGTGTGTGTGTGTGTGTGTGTGTGTGTGTGCGTGCGTGCGTGTGTGTGAACGTAAGTGCACAGACCACTGTCACAGCTATGCAAAATTTTCCTGAAAGTAAAATCCGACTTGCCAGTGACATAGGCCAGACCTGAGCCTAGTTACTAGTACTAGGTACACTCCGCATTGCTGGGCGCGGATAGCCATCTGACCATCATTCTGATGGTACTCAGAGTCTCCTCATACTATCATAGATCACTTGACTTGTCCATCATTGCATTTGCCTATCAGATAACATTAGTTATTGCCATGTTGGCCTGGAGTGTAATGAATTACCCCCCCCCCCCCGGTTACAACACCTCAGCTCAACCCTGAGCAGTAGCCAGTACCCAGGGCCAGGCCCAGGGGCAGGGGTTCTCCTACCCAGGGCCAGGCCCAGGGGCAGGGGTTCTCCTATCTTGCCTTGCTAGACCATGTATGGTCAAACCGTTTACCATGGTTTACCGACTGAACATGCACAACATGATTGTACTAATTTGTAGTGTAGACCTTCGCACATGTTGTTGGTTGGACAGCATGAAACAAGGTGGAGGACACCGTGTTCGGAAACAGTATTCATGGTATTGGATTATCTAATCTGAGTTCCTGTCGAGACGAGTAGAGTTCGTACATATGAACCATGGGCATGGTGAACCCCAGCTAGCCGGCAGCAGAAGATGACTAATCAGTAATCTTGACTTTAGTTTAGTTTTAGTTTGTCCGGCATCAGCAGACATCACTATATTCGACGAGTGTCCATGACAACTGTGTGCATGCATGTGCAGGAGTGAAGGCAACGCGCGGCCTGACCGAAGCCGAAGTGCTTGGTTTTGAAAAGACAAAATCGAAAAGAAGAGACGGGTTGATGCGTTGACCATGGTTGACATGATGGTGATACGATCGACAAGAGTTGAATTAGATCGTCAGACCTAAGCCTCACACCTTTCTTGCGAACTAACTACTTGCTACCTGGTCCGCCATTGAATGTAACTCCTGTGTTCTATCGCTAAATTTACCGCCTCATTGACGCGGCGATTGGCTGCTGCAGAGGAAATGCCTGAGCAGATTCCGAGCACCGACCAGTCGGTGAATCAGCAGGATGAGCAAGGACAGGATCTGCAACTGCATGCCCAGGCAAACGGCCAAGAAGAAAATGGTGACTCGGCAACAACCAACGACAGTAGCAATGTCGGGTCTGCAGAAAGAGTAGGAGTTGGTCTGGACTTGTCCTTGAATGTGACGACAGCCGCAGCGAAGTGGCAACGCAAAACCCGAAAGAGCGGTGTCCAGGAGCGCCTCAGGCAGCGCCAGTTGAACAGAATTGATGCAGCTCGCTTGCGTCCAGCCAAGGCCGTGTATTCCCCGGAACGCAGCGCTTTTAGTCAGCCGACAGCCAGTGCAGACCAAGTGGCGTGCAGTCCTCCTGGAACTCCGACAAGTGACGGGAACACTTTGAACTCGGTCGAAAAAAGTCCAGAGCGTGAGGCGGCAGCTGTTAGCTCTAGCATAAGCAAAGGCACTGCTGAGAGTCCAGTACATGTGTCCACAAATCACAGAGGCAACGTAGCTGACAAACGGAATCGTTTCATCAGACGCCAAAGCAGTGTCCAGTTTGAGAAGATTGGTGAAATCCCTATGTCCTTGCCACCTGTGAAGACTACTAATACTAGTGACACCACAGAGTCACCAGTGGGTAAGCAATGGTACGCACAGTGACTCAGTCCTACAGCATACGTCATTGCTGTATGCAGCTTGGGGCATACCTACTACAGTCAGACCTCGTTTAACCGCACACATCCGTTTTCTACGAAAATACCCGGATAGGCGAGGGAACCGGATAATTTCCCATTTCACAAGCAATGATGCATTGTGATGTGAAGTGGGATTGTATGTGGAGCGGAGAGCGGAGATATAGCAGTGTACATGTATACCAACCCGAAATCGGGTAGCAAAGGAAAATCCGATTTCTGGTTGGTATACACTGTTATATCTAAGCTCGAAGCTCCGATATGCAATCGAACACAAATACTGTATGTATGCATGGCATATGCTGTAAATCGGTAACCAGCAATTTTCTTCCGGATGGCGAGGGATTCAGATAAAAGAGGACGGGATAAGCGAGGTCTGACTGTATACACATTCTGTATTATCTGACCAGCTGTGTCTCCTGTTCCTGTACAGATTTAATAATAGTGGCGTTGCTCTTGAATGTTTATCTCACTTTCACAGATCAGCAAGTCACAGCCATGCCTTCTCAGGCCTCCCAGCAGCCAGCTCGGCCCGCTGGACGGGCAGTCGATGTGACTCAGTCCACGTCGCTGAAGGCGGTTTGCGAACAATGGCTGAGGCTGTTGCTTGATGAGGAGGACCTGGCAAGCGAGGACAGTGTACAGCGCGCACATAACATGCAGATGTGGCTTGTTGTGAACCTCATCCCAACGATAACAATCTGTCTGAGCAAGGTGTTGGAAAGGGCGGAACGCCAGCACGCTCTTCGTAACGAGAATCCACAGGCAACCTTCAGCCCCATCAACGCGCTGGCCGAAAACCTAATGCGTCACAATCCTAAATACGCGTTCGCTGAAGTCTCATCGTATGACCGTGCTATGAAGTCTGTTCGCATAGAACTGGAAGACAGGAGCAGTGACCTGATGCGCAACGCTTTAGCCCAGGTCAGTGTGGACCGTGCATTGTAATGAATGCAAGCCTGCCTGAAAGAGTGAACGCGGGGAGGGTTTGCATACGCCTAACGCCATCAAGGGTATACGATCTGATCAACACAGGACGCCGGATCCTTGTCCCATGACTATCAGAACATCTACTTGCGGTGAAAATACTTCAGCAAGGTGTATGTCTACTGAGCTTGTTGTCGTTTTAACTGTTTGCTCAATGTTCCAGGCCAGGCGTGCAGCCAAAGACAAGGCCCGTGCAGAGAAGGAAAGTATTGACACGGAGAAGGAGGCTGCAGACTTCACAAGATTTGTGTTGTCGGATGCGCTTGTGGAAGGCTGGACGTGGAAAGATTTGGAGAGTGGAAAATCCTCCGTGAGAATCTCAAGTGACAGTGTAAGGGCTGCGAGCTCTGTGTAAGGCTGTTTGATTGTGCTTTTAGCGCGCGTGTATGTGCGTGTGTGTGTGTATGTGTGTAATGTGTGTGTGTGTATGTGTGTGTATGTGTGTATGTGTGTATGTGTGTGTGTGTGTGTGCGCGCGTGTGTGTGTGTGTGTGTGTGTATGCGTGTGTGCGTAATACAAATCGCCAGCACGTATTGAATGGCTTAGTCACAGTTCGTGAAGCCTGGTTCCTATTCAACCCAGTGCGATGCCAAAGGAGTGACTGGGAGTTGACTTGACCCTCGTGACTGTGTACACGACGTGATAGGCATGAGCATTGAGAGCGGGAACACTATTGTACTACCGTATAAATTGGTACACGGGTATGATGGAACTATTATTGGAGGAGTAGGATTTGTTCAATTTTCAAGTTAAAGATGGTGTAGAACAACTAAATGTACTAGAACTTTGCAGTCCACCGTAAACATTCTGCAGAGGAAGAGTGTAGGCTGCTTCAAGCAAAATGCATTTGGGTGTGGATAAATAAGAAAAGTTTATCATGGCAAATCGATACTATTTTTGTTTAAATATGCGACAAAAATAGTAGTTTGGTCAGTTTTCCTGTATGTTCGGTTAATTTTCTGGGCTTGTGTTATTGTGTGGTTGTGTGTTTGTGTAGATACTGGCCATCATGGAGGACTGCATCAATGACCCAGCCATGCAGGAGCTGTTTGATCACAGTGCGACTCCCGGTAATCCCTAGGCGCACAACCATGCACCCAAGTAGGCCAGAAGCTGCACTATACATGTCTGTACACATTCACTTATTTCCTCGTTTGGAGATCACACGATCAGGTCCGGTATGTACACTGATCACGTTCTTGTTATTCTTCCTGTGGATATTCTTTTCTCTGGCAGGTGAGAGCATGTTCTCCCAGCGCTATGACATCCTGCCGATAGATGAGGAAGTCAACAGTTTCAGTGGAGAAAGCGCTATTGAGGTGAGTTTGGCTGTAGAAGGTGAATGCCAACAAGGTAAGTATGTGTAAATGATGGTCACCGAGGGTGCATTTAGTGCCGCAATGTACATGTATCGTGTGGTATTCTGTTTCATTTGGAGTTATACTCCCTGATGAAGCCTCGAGGGAGAAAATGTGGAGAGATATTTATGCCGATTGCAGTGTAAGACGGAGGCGGCGAAGAAGGAGATGAGACATCATATGGAGTTATCAAATTAAACCAGTAGTCGCCAACGTTTGGTGGTTGCTGGGTGCATCTAACCAAGAGTACATGATAACCAGAGTGTGCAGCTTGGCCTTTTCTGCTATGGGTGTCTGTCACGGCGGAATTCCGTGATTACATCATATTTGGCGCAGATCTGAGGCGGGAAATGGCGTAGTGCGTACAACTGAGCTGCAGTTGTGCAGAAAGAGACCTGCTTGAATCCTGCTTGTACGCACTACATCACTAAAATGATGTAATCACGGAATTCCGCCGTGACAGCAACCCATCCGAGCTTCACACTCTGGTTTTCATGTACTCTTGATTTCACGTTACACGTGAATGTCTGTTCTGAAGTCTGAACCAAAGATGATCCTTCTTTTTTTCTCACTCTTGCTGTGTCTGCAAGCTCATCATGCTCGTCTTAAACACGAACAGCAAGGATTTCGTAGCCAAATTTGCACGCAAGCTGAGAGAAGAAGGTCTGCGTCTCGGATTAGAACTTGCATCCATACACAAAAGGTATGTTTTGAACTCAGATAGTGAGACATGTGAGCTAGTATATATCTGTGCCATGGCTTTTCCGGTGCATTTCAACCGATGATGTGATCCCATAACCTCTATACAAATGTTCAGTCTGGATGTCTAAAATTAACGATCACACAAAACAATGCTCAGTCTAGAGGTCTAAAATGTTCTAACTAAAACTGGGGTTTCAAGCCTTTATTTGGCTAAAAGCGGGCTTTCAAAAGCCGGGACTACTTTGGACAAATTATGGACTGAAGCAGGTGCTTAAATCAACAGATTTTGTTCCAAGCATCTTGAAACATGGTTGGCTTGTGAGGAGCTCTGCACTTAGCACTTGACACTGGTACGCTTTTTATCTGTGCTGACTAGCGGACAGAACAGTTCTGTTGGGTAGACACAAGTATTGGGCACGAGTATGTTCTGATATGCATTACGTGCACTCATTGTCGGCGACTTGTCTTGTCCTGCACCCTTGGGTAACTCTTCTCTCAGTCAACTCATGAGGCAAGCGTTTGCAGAGCTGGACACTGCCGAAGCCATGATGCTCAACCGACACAAGCTGCTGGTGCTCATGGAGAACTTCTACACGAGTCTGCCCGACAGTGATGTGGACAAGCGGCTCTTGACATGTCCTTGCCAATGTAAGTTGCCATGATATAACTGTTGCTTTGAGACCATACAGTCAGTGTCTCTCAGCTCAATTCAGTATAGCCGGAGGTAACGTGGACATGCAAACTTTACTTTACATGACCATTTAACAGCCGTGCACACTATTGGTGGCATTCACCACCAGTCATGCGGCAGGCATAGCGTTGTTGATGCTGATATTTCTTTAAATTTGTTGTTGTTGTTGTCGTCGTCGCTGTTCTTTTTGTTAGTTCCTGTTGTGGATATTCTCGAGCTTGCAGTCCCACCCAGTCATCAACTTGACAGTGTACCAGAAGGTGATAGTATGGAAGGTATGTTCCCATGTTTTTAAGCACCATCCAGAGCGATGTATATGGCACAACTAGTGTTTAAATCTGAAGCTGTAATCTGGAAATAACAAAAAAGAACAAAACTACAGATTGAGTAGAACAAAACTACATGTAGTTATGACGAAATGTAGTTATGCCGAAATCAGAAGATCTTTAGTTTCAACTTGGGTTTTCAAATAATCTGGTCTGGCTTGTACGAGTATGCTGCTTTGCGCAGACTCCCAGATGTTGCCGGTTGCCACTACAACCTGTGTGTGTGTGTGTTTGGGTGTTTCTGATCCTAGGCATGACAGCAAGTAATGCTGCTAAAGCAGATGTGACCTCACTGCAGAGCATGTTGGTGCAGGTAAGGTTATGTGCTGAAGGTTATGTGCTGAAGGTTTTGTGCTGAAGGTTTTGTGCTGCAAACTGCACTATGATGATGTGGCATGGGGCAGCAATTCAACGTATTGGCGTTTCACCCAGGGTTTCATAACTGTAATTCGTAATTTCATGTTGTAGGGTCGTCCTCTATCGAGGCTTGCCGAGAGAGGACGCCAGGTCCCATCAAGTATGGATACCCTCATTCGAATGAGAACCGCATCGCGCAAAGCCATGTCAGCGCGATATGGAGTTGTGGCAGTAAAGCTTGCAGGTGAGGATTTCAATCTTTACTTGAAGCATCTCTGGGTATAATAATTTGTTCAAACAAACCATGACCTGTGACAGAGTGAGTTGGTATAGTAATGACATACACACAGACACATGCACACACACAGATACACACACACATGTACGAACACACCTGTCCTGTCCTGAACATTGTGGTAAGACGGTCATTGTCCCCTCATACGAGGGGCCGACAGACATGGGGTAGGTCGGTTGAATACGGTACGCAGCACGCTCCGCAGGCTAGCGGCCAACGAGAGTTCTGGTATACTTTGCGCAGCTGTGGAGTTGGAAACCCCTCTTTGATCAGCAACACCTGCCACATGCGCTGCAATGAGCCTGGCAGCAGGGTAGTGTTAGCTGAGTCCTCGCCGGCACTGGTACTGCCGCAACCGAGTTGGGCGCAGACAAAGAAGAAGGGCCCGCCACTGGGCACGTAGAGCAATAGTCGTCGGGTCGACACTTGTGGACAGCGAGGCCTCCGGCGCTCCTGAACGAACACACACACACACACGTTTGCGCACTCACACATACACACACACACACATACATACATACATACATACATACATACACATGCATACACACACACGTGAGCCTGTGGCATCCTGTTTTCTGTTCATGCAGAGCTTCGAAGTCGCCCAACTCCTACGCCTGTGCCTCCCCTTCTGGTGAACGAACTAAGCCGTACGAGACTAGATGAGGTGTGTGTCAGTCGAGATCAGTTTTCAGTTATGATCAAAAACTTCCTAGGAGCAGCTGACAGCCGGTAAGAGTGAACCCAATCAACAGTCTAGCATTTGACAAAATGAGAGTCCAAGCAAAGAGTCTTTTAAGATGTCTCAAAATGGGAGTCAGAGCAAAGAGTCTTTCAAAATGGGAGTCAGAGCGAAGAGTCTATCTGTGTGCCAAGAAGCCCCCCTCCTCTATACAGTATAGCCATCCTCAACACAGAACTGCAGTTGCTTGCTTTGAGTTCCTGGGCCATAGCCCCCATTCCTCACCGTATAGCCATCCTGAACATGGAATTGCAGTTGCTGACTTCAAGTCCTCATAGCCCCCACTCCTCTATATAGCCATCCTGAATAGTACCAAGGTGCAGTTGTTGACTTGTAATTTTCCCATACTAAGTTTAACATTCCCTTCCTTGTGCAGAATTTGCCTTGCCTGGTGGAAATGGTGACTTAATGATTGCCTGGTGGAAATGGTGACTTAATGATTGCCTGGTGGAAATGGTGACTTAATGATTGCCTGGTGGAAATGGTGACTTAATGATTGCCTGGTGGAAATAGTGACTTAATGATTGCCTGGTGGAAATGGTGACTTAATGATTGCCTGGTGGAAATGGTGACTTAATGATTGCCTGGTGGAAATGGTGACTTGATGATTGCCTGGTGGAAATGGTGACTTAATGATTGCCTGGTGGAAATGGTGACTTAATGATTGCCTGGTGGAAATGGTGACTTAATGATTACCTGGTGGAAATGGTGACTTAATGATTTCCCCCTGTATGCTGTTCCTATTTTGCGCTAGCTACCTGAACGAATTTCTCCAGTTCCTGAAGCAAAGCTACCGGGAAACGGAAATTGAAGAAAGTGAACGACGAGCCCTGGTATGAGCTTAGCAGATGAGAAGAGAGACTGCATGTCTGCTTCGTCATGTTGCTGTTTTTCATCCTTAGAAGCATGCGTTGTATGCGTTATACACGTGCAGATATGTGTACTAGTACTTGCCTTTGTTTGCTTCGTCGTAGGGTAGCTCTTGGTGAGAGACTGACCTGCTGTATCTTGTCTCGAGCTGTCCTTTGGATGACCTAATGTCGCCCTTAAATTGGTGCCAAGTTCTAGTTCTAGTGTAAAAGGCACCCATTGTGCTGAAAATGCATGTTATCTGTTATGCAGACAGACAGGTCCTGGTCAGTGTCCAGGGCTGCAGGCATGCCAGTATGCCAGCCAAGGACTCTAGTAGAAGTCACATTCTTCTACCGTTACAACCAAGACGCTAGTAATTTACTTCTGCAACCATCGTAAGATCTAGAGCACTCCTCGATGTGTTGACTGCTTGCTTTGCCTCGCCCTGTCTATTCCGCCACAGGCACAGCACAGCAAGACGTACCGTGAAGAAGTGGGTAGCATCGATGAGCTTTTCGATATGATTGACTATGACCAAACCGGCGCTGTGGCATGCAATCAGGTCTTGACGATGCTTGCCGGTTGGAAACACCAGATGGCCGACCACGTAGTAGAGAGAGGTAGGCCGGTTGCCGTGACAATGCACGGTGTCTGTCGAAACTAGAAACTAGCTGCCCTGGTTGCCGCTATCTGTACAATTCAGAATTTCTACTTCGAAACAGTCATGTGCTGTACCTGATAATCTTAAAAATGTACGCCGTTGTATACATTCCGTTGCTAAATACCATGCATTTGCCATTTTGTTACCAGTGGTGCATTGAGCTGGAAATGGGGGTTGTGTGACAAAAAAATAATGTTGCTTTGATATAATGTTCCTTTGACCGCAAACAATACGACAAAAAGCTGGATGTGCTCGTTATGGATGCTGGGAAGTAACACACATGTGTGTTCACATACGTGTGTGTATGTGTGTGTATTCTTTCCCATCGTTCCCAGTGAAAGAGTTCCTTGATGTTAGTGAGGACATCGATGACATCACGCTGAATCGTAGAGAATTCCAGCATCTCATAAGATACGTAGCACGTGACGTGGATGAGGAGGATGTCACCGACATGAAGCGAGCACTTCATGAAGCCACAGAGGTAGGATGTAGGCCCGGGCCAGTGATTCTGACACCTTATGACCCTATGCTTTCCACCTTCACTTGTCTTGTGAAATACGCTGGACATCGGCTCAACATACAGGCCGTGCCGGAAGTATAATGCTAGCATTCTCATCAGGTGCATCATCAGCATCAAATTGCTTCTAAGAACAGAAGTGTAAAAACTTCTGTTCTCAGAAGCCTTAAAAGGCCTTGGTAGGAAATGGAAAAATCAGTTCACTCCGATTGGTGTTGCTACTCTAAACTTCTTGCAAAAGCAGCATCAGGGTGTAATTGGTCCTTATCTGAGGGAGTTTGAGACATACGGTAGGTAGAGCGAGTATAGGAGTGATTAGCTACCATTCCGGCATTCTGCAGCACACTTTGAAGATCATTAGTGACAGTGTGTTGATGTGTCGTACTGCTGCAGCTCTCAGAGGCAGAGCGAACTCGGACGGAAAAGAACCGGCTGGGGTTGGCGTCCATCTTGTCAACTGGCTCATGGTGCAGTTTGAATCCGCGACCAGCGTTTGAAGCTGTCTTCCACACAGTCCAACTGGTAAGGAAACATCTCAGCTTGGGGATTCACCAAACCTCTCTTGGGGATTCACCAAACCTCTCTTTGGTCTGCAGTACATTAAGTAGACCGATGATGTGCTTCCTACGTTCCCATTCGAACTTGAGTCCCATGAAGGAGCTATTAGGAACAGCCCAGCACTACACGGTGTGTTAGCACTACACGATGTGTAAGCTCAGGAGCTAACAGTGCAAGAGTACGGTGATGCCCATCAGTTTACATGCTTAGTGCTACTCGTACACAACAGCTGTCAAGTCATGTGAGCAATGGCCGAGTACCTGGTTCCAAGCAACTGCCTTTGATAGCCAGTATCCACAAGTAGAGGAAGGTGCGAGTAATCATCCCATACCCAACTTACTCATACCCCGCAACGACTCCTACTCGTCCTACTCAAACCCACTGAACCCATCATAACTACACCCATCCATATACCCACTGCCATACCAGGACACTGCGGATAGCATGTTTGTGATGCGTATATCCTAGGTGTCCGTGATAAAGCAATTTTCTTACCATTGCTCTCCTCACCAAATTTTACCTCCCCAGTAATAGAAGATACTTACTTAATAGTTGTGCTACATTGATGAAGACTAGGTGACAATGTGACGTAACTGTTACATGTTACAAGCAGAATTCTGAGTTTCTTTTCGTCCTCCTTCTAGAACCTGATGAGTTTTGACAAAGATCGGAAGGTCTCCTGTGCGGTTGCCCTCATCGTTAAGCCGTCCGATGGAGGTGAAAGGCGCCTGCAGTTTGTCGCCACGTCACCCGAGGATACGTACATGGTTGGCGAAACGATACCAATGCTGGAAGACAATCCAAGGTAGGGATACCAATTGCATGCAATCTGTATTTATGTACTGGCTAGTGGAATCCGACCACTCGTTTTTTTTTTAGAACCATAGCGTGACAAGCTGCCTTGTGTGAAGATGTGGACTATGCTGGGCTGCAAGGCTACGAGACGTAAGGAGCTGCTTGGCCGAGTCAGGGATGGAGAGGTACCCGGCCTGGGGTTGGACTTCGCGTACATGTATCTACTCTATAGTGATCAGTGAACCATGCTGCGTCATCGTCTATCCTCTTGAGGCTGTACGGACATGGGCACTGGCATACACGGGTGTTCAGTGTCTTTGGATTTGACGGCTATCCATAGTATAGGTGCATGGCAGCATATGCCATCATCCAGGTCCAAGTGTGCTGTGCCTTTGGATCGAATAGTATGTCATCTCTATTGTTCAGTATTTGACGAATGTAAGAATGTACGTGGGTGTTTGGTTTACAGCATGTCACAAGGCGGAGGACGCGCTGTGCACTGTGCTTAAAAACAGTGCTCCTTACAACAATCTCCGCGGTTGGTAGAGCCCCGGTCTTTACTTAAGGCCATGTGAACCGTACGGGTGTTAGCCCTGGTTCTGACCCTCATTATACTAGGGAGTTGTTTTGTTTAAAACAGAGAGGTTCCAGGCTGTCCTCTTGTTTTTGTTTTGTACTGTCAGTTGTGTATTCCTTTTTGAGGGAAGGACGCCATCAGTGGGCAGAAGTTGGACAAATAAAGTAAAGGACTAAGGCTCAAGAGGGTTTAGACAGGACTGACGTCCAAGAACGAGCAAGGGATACGCAACTGACAGTACAAAACAAAAACAAGACTTTTTAAGAACAACTCCCTTGTATAAGTAGGGTCAGAACCAGGGCTAACCGCCATGCGGTTCAAATGGTCTTGCGTAAAGACCGGTGCTCTGCTAACCGTGGAGGTTGTAGTAAGGAGCACAGTTTTCATGCACAGTGCGTCCTCCACCTTGGAACATGCTGTTAACCAAACAACATGACATGTATTAAGTCCAGTACTTGTATGTTTTAGCACTATATAGGTGTGTGTTCATGTATGTGCGTGCGTGCACATGTGTGTATGCATGTGTGTATGTGTGTATTTGCAAATGTGTTTGTGCATGTGTATGTGTGTGTACCGGTGTGTGTGTGTGTGTTTGCAAAAATTTAATGTGTATGTGCATGTGTATGTGTGTGTATGTGTGTGTGCATGTGTATTCCAGTTACAAGGCAGTTGAAACCGGAAAGACGGTGCATGTGGCTGACATCAGACAGCATGGCGCCATCACCGTCTTCAATGAAAAGAGAGCGGTGAGCCTGAGGAACGCATCACTCACACGACAATGAACGCATCTGCATTTGCTGCTGGAGTAGCTCAAACCTACAAGTGCAGTCTCCTCTCGATAAGTCACGCACGCAATCTTGAAGACAAAAATGTGTGACCTAAACTGAGTGCGTGACCAAAACTGAGTGCGTGACTTGTCGAGAGTAGACTGTACCAAGCATAATTATGTGCATGTACCGTGTGTGCTGTATCCAACCTCTCTGCTTTCCTTCCTCTCATACAGGAGACTGTGACGGGTGCGTTCCTGGCAGTGCCCATTCTACACGTGCAAACTCGACAGCCTGTGGGTGTTCTGACCATGGATAGCATGCAAGACACTGTGGCAAAACCATTTGCTAATTACGAACAACGGTTTGCTGAGGTAAGGCGGCCTTACTCGACTGTTAAGCTCGTCTGCAATGGAGGAATATCTAGGTTAGAACATGATAGCAGTGCTTAACAATTATGCCGTCTGGTTCGAATTCTTGATGCTACCTGTTCCAGTCTGTGAAGGTGTGTCGTGAATGTGACACCTTCACCCTTGAATTGTGTGTGTGTGTGTGTGTGTGTGTGTGTGTGTGTGTGTGTGTGTGTGTGCATGTGCGTGTGCATGTGTTCGTATGTGTGTGTGTGTGTGTGTGTGTGTGTGTGTGTGTGTGTGTGTGTGTGTGTGTGTGTGTGTGTGTGTGTGTGTGTGTGTGTGTGTGTGCATGTGTGTGTGTTCTACTGTGCCCTCCGGCAGCGTGTAGCTGGAGCGCTATCGCATGTTCTCTACACGGTGGAGCGGCGTATGTGCACGTTGATTGTACTGCAGGAGACCATGTGCTGGGCATGCCGATGCCTTCGCTCCGTCAAGTCCTGTACATTCTACATGGTGACGTCACCAGTCAAGAATGCGGTATGTTCCTGCAGTGCTAGTACACACACACACACACACACACACACACACTACAATACAATACAATATGCCCATCCGGAGATGATAGCAGGTCCCGAAGGGACCAACAGTGTTCAAGTCACGAGCAGAATCGGGCGTGGCGAGTCAAGTCCTGGCGACGGCGATAGCGCTTTCCACAAGTGCAAACGAAGTCAGTAAGGTGACGGGCTCGGTCGGAGGGATGGTGCTGCATGCTGATCTCCATTCTCTGCGATCCTGGGCGAGGTCGTACCAGTCCGCTATCTGGCGGTCCTTCATGTCGGACACAACATTGTCCCGCCACCGCTTCCGGGGCCCATGACGTGGCCGGGTCTTGTCCAGTTCGCTGAAGAGGATACACTTTGGCATACGTGAGTCATCCATTCGAGCAACATGGCCTAACCAGCGGAGTCGACGCGTTTTCAGTGTCTCCTCGATCGGCTGTACCTTGGCTCGTTCAAGGAGAGTGGTGTTGGAGATGTGCTCCTGCCATTGTGTTACTCTGCGAATATCCAGCAGGAAACGAACACAGCGGTGATGAAAGGCTGCAAGCCGACGAACATCCACGGCCTTAATTACCCAGGTCTCACAGCCATACAGCAGCGTCGACAAGACAACGGCCGAATATACGTGCACCTTCGCACACACACACACACACACACACACACACACACACACACACACACACACACACACACACACACACACACACACACACACACACACACACACACACACATCGCAATGCAGAGGTCTACAGTCCGTTTCAAAAAGATTTACAATCCTGGCGATCGCCCGCAGAGTTTGGCGTCTTACCGTATGAGCACTCGAGCGCTGCCTGGAAAAACTCACCGTGAACTCGAAGAAATATTCCGCGCGAAAGCAGGAAAAATGACAACTCACTCACGTTGATACTGTCATGTACGTCTGGTTTACAACAAACGAGTTCTTCCTCGTATCGATAATGGAGTCGGAGGACATGTCGAAACGAAAGTGTTGTAAATGTTGACGAGCTGCATGGGTCCCAATTCGTTTTGTGACCAAAATAGTTTCTTTGAGCTGCGATGCAATTTACTCACCGTGTGACGACATCGACACGGACATATTCCCACTGGCCATGACTTGGCAAAGCTATCCGTGTGACTTCGACGACATTTTGAGAAAAGCAGACGCTTGTGAACGCTGAAAGAAGACGGCGTTGACTGCTAAATTCAAATAAATTGGCGATCTTGAAATACTAAAATAAATCTCAAAAAGCTACAGCGCGATGACTTCCATTATAATTCACTCACACCATTGCAGTGTTGTGGGTGTGTTCACATGGCGTGAGCCAGTCAAGTGTCAGTCAGTTCGGCAGGAAGCGCGAGCTCCAACAACAAGTCGTTTGGTGCAGCCATCTTCTTTGTCTTGTACCAGCTTGATCACCAAAACAATGAAAAAAAAGTTTGACTTGAGGATAGGTTGGGATTTGAACTCACAACTTCATGGTCAGCAGACAGCATTCATAACCACAAGGCCAAAAAGGAAAGGATAAATCGTGGGTTTTGATAAAAAATCGATACTGGCTTCCTGGGCAAATTGTAAACCATGGGAAAAGGCCGGAAACCTGGCCGAAATTCTAACTCCTTAACGGTTGGTCCAATTGTTCCGAAACCTTCACAGAACAATTTGCCGTGTCCTAACAAGCCATTCTATGTGCTTTGTTGTCCACATTTCCCTTATCTTCATACTTTTTAAGACCCAAACCTGATTGTAAATCTTTTTGAAACAGACTATAGCCAGGATTTTATGCCAGCCGGCCAAAAATGCATCGTTCTGGGGGCTGCGCCCCCAGACCCGCGCCGTCACTCGCGTATCCGCACAGACACACACACACCACTACAAATCTTTCATTGCAGCTTGCATCTCCTTTCGCTTCGGCCAATTATGGGCATTCATCAGGCAGTTGTGACAATGTGATTATAGGTAAATTAACAAAATATGAAAAAGGAAGCAAACAGCTACATGAGCATGGATCATGTGTTCACCAAGGTCATGTCTGCATGCAGTGTACATTGGTCATCTGACAAGACCCAGCCTAGCCACAGCCATGTACACCACCAGAAGCAGCGAACCATGACCCAACCTGTTACATTTTACTGACGTACTCACTGAGTGCATACTCAAGTGCATTTGAGCTTGAGTGAAGAGCTAGCACTGAGCCTGAGTAGCCAGTGCTACGTACTGTACTGTACATACCTACGCCTACACCTACGCCTAGGATATGGGGCACTACAGTCTACATGGGGGTGACTGCAGCCGGCCAAAATTACCCTTGGAGCTGTCTCAGCCGGCAGGTGGCCCTCCCAGCCGGCTTTGGCTAGATCACTGCAATGTATGTGGGGGTTGTGCATCCAGTAAAACTCCCCAGATCCGGACGTATATTTCGAGCATGTCCGTCTACCAGGCACCTTACACAGATGGCGTTTCAAGTTGATTTTCAACGGGGAAAAGCCCCAAAAACTATTGATTGTCATAAAAAAATGTCACAGTTACTTGTATTCAGTAAGTACACTAGTCAGAACAACAGATGGCTTGATCAGTCACAACTTAAAGTTTCATGCCATCTCAGGCACTCATCAGGTGATATGAACATCAAGAAAAATAACCCACTATTTAAAGCCCAGTATGGCGGGACAAGTATAACAGAAAGCGCTAGGGGCGCTATCAACTCATATCCGATTCAGTGTCATAGCCAGTAAGGATCGCGGTACTAAGGTGATAAAGGTGATAAAACTGAGCTGGCCTAGCTAGTGAGTTCCGCGGTGCAAAGATGATGATGGTGACAAGGCGGCAGAGAGCTATCAACTGGCCCTACTGCCTGGAGGCAGGGTGCCGAGAAGATCATGTTATCGGTGTTGACAGCATGAATTTATTTTGATGTCGACATTTGGATATCAACTCCGACCGCTTGTTGAGGCTCGATCTCCTGTCGGCAGTGATTATTCTCGCCTTCTCCTCGAGGCACAGGCTGCATCTTTTTGTTATGTTACTGTAGGCCTTGGCCTTCTGAACCACTCGCCACTTGATGTCGTGCGTCTTGCCATTATCTTTTAATTCCCACACATGCTTTGAGAGGCCCGTGGATTTGCGGTATCCAGGAAGCTTGATGGATGTCTTGTGGTTCCCGTATCGAAGCTTGAATGGAGGCTCCGTACTGCCAATGTAGGTTTTGGGCCCATCGCTGTGGCCATCACTCGACACCTCCGCCGCGTAGACTATGCTGGTTGCTTGGCACGCTCCGTTGAGAGGGCACTGGTCCTTGCGACGGCAGTTGCACGGCTTGTCCGGTTCCTGGACGCACAATTGACGCTTATTGTGGCCACTGATAATGTGGGCCATATTCGGCAAACAGGAGTAGCTCACCTTCACATTGAAGCGGTTGAAGATTTTGTTCATTTTGGACCCCTTAGGAAAATGCTTGTCGATCAGCCGGAGGAAGGTGCCGGCGATGTTGGTCCGGACACTCTTGGAGTATGGCGGGTTAAACCACACCACATTCCGTTTCCTTTTTCTTTTTTGCTTGCTGCCGTTCATTGCAGCAGGTGGCGTTGGGTCAATGTACTTGATGTTGGCAGGTAATCCGCTGGCCGCTAATGCATTGCGATATGTAGGGGCAGCATCGGCGAATACGCCGCTGTCGGCAGATATGCTTGAGACACGTCGAGCGATCATATCAGGGATGTTCCGTAGTATGGATGGTGGGTGATTGGACATGGCGTTGACGTAGAGAGGTGCGTCTCCAGGTTTACGATACGGCTGGAATTTCCCGGTGTCCAGGCTGAGCGTGACGTCTAGGAAATTCACTGTCGAAAGATTAACGTCGATAGTGATTTTTAGATCATACTGCTTGTATACTTCGATAATGGACTTCCTCATGCGGTCGGCAACTGGCCCTGGTGCATTTTTCAGCACGGCAAGGCCGTCGTCTCTGTAAAGTCCAATTCCGGCCTCATCGACGTGCACAGACAACTTGCTCAATAGGAAAGCACCGACGAGCTCACATATCTCTGCTCCATCGTACGATCCCATCGCCACGTCGAAGTTGCATTGTGCGTTGTTCTTTATCCATGGACGGCCGCCCTGGAACAGGAGTGACCTACGGGAGTGCATGATGATGTCGATGTCACTTTGGGTCAGTGCGGCAAACTGCTCAGCAAATGCCAGTGCAGACCGGAGGAGAGGCTCGGTGATGCTTGGATAAAAGTCAACAACGTCAAAGCAGATGAAGGAGTGGCTCTGCTTATTAGGTATGGCCTGGAACCACTTGAGCACAGCCGCGGTGTTCTTCCAGAGGTTCATGTTCTGACGTTCCACGATGCTCCTGATCACCTTGTCGAGGATCCCCTTGCTGAGTCGACCCATGTCAGGCTTGGCAGGATTTATCAATCGGCAGGGAAGGCTGCTCTCGAACCTTGGTTTATGATCCTTCATAGTAATAAAGGCCTCAGCTTTGGGTAGGGTCTCCATTCTATCATCGAGCTTAGCCTTGCGTGATAGATCCCTTGCCTCGTTATTAATCTCGTCGTAGGTAGATTCAGGTGCTAACTGGTAGTGCTTAGTAGTGTTATCTCGCAGCAGCTTCTCATACAGTTCGGTCTTGACCAGATACGTATTTCTTGTTTTATCCGCGCGGACGATGATGTCATCGGTAGAGTTGAAGTGTCACGGCTCTACCTTCCCGGTATCGAGCTCTCTTGGATTTCTGCTGGAATTCACAACAGTGTACAACAGTGTGTATTCACAACAGTGTACAACAGTGTGTATTCACAACAGTGTACAACAGTGTGTATTCAGTAAGTATGTATGTTCTGAGTTACGGGCCATTCCTAGTTCCGGGCCGTTCTTAATTACGGCCCGTTCCTAGTTACGGTCCGTTCCTAGTTACGGCCCGTTCCTAGTTACGGCCCGTTCCTAGTTACGGCCCGTTCCTAGTTACGGTCCGTTTCTAGTTGCGGTCCGTTTCTAGTTGCGGGCCGTTTCTAGTTGCGGGCCATTCCTAGTTGCGGGTCGTTCCTAGTTACGGCCCGTTCCTAGTTGCGGGCCGTTTCTAGTTGCGGGCCGTTCCTAGTTACGGCCCGTTTCTAGTTGCGGGCCGTTCCTAGTTGCAGGCGGTTTCTAGTTACGGCCCGTTCCTAGTTGCGGGCCGTTCCTAGTTGCGGGCAGCGCTGGGTCCCATTGTGAAAGATATTGACTTCACACTGCTATTGTTCATGTCTGCTCACCACCTGTTTGTGTCAGGCTAAGCGGCAACCGTACAGTCTGAAGAAAGTGATCACCTTCCTTGGCCTCACACCGCTGCTGGATGAACATTCACCAAACATTGAGAATAGCTCATCTGCACTGTAAGTTACTGCTCAGGAAATGTCCCTGCCTGACAGTCCCTGCCTGACAGTCCCTGCCTGACAGTCCCTGTCTGACAGTCCCTGCCTGACAGTCCCTGCCTGACAGTCCCTGCCTGACAGTCCCTGCCTGACAGACCCTGCCTGACAGACCCTGCCTGACAGTCCCTGCCTGACAGTCCCTGCCTGACAGTCCCTGCCTGACAGTCCCTGCCTGACAGTCCCTGCCTGACAGTCCCTGCCTGACAGTCCCTGCCTGACAGTCCCTGTCTGACAGTCCCTGCCTGACAGTCCCTGTCTGACAGTCCCTGCCTGACAGTCCCTGCCTGACAGTCCCTGCCTGACAGTCCCTGCCTGACAGTCCCTGCCTGACAGTCCCTGCCTGACAGACCCTGCCTGACAGACCCTGCCTGACAGACCCTGCCTGACAGTCCCTGCCTGACAGTCCCTGCCTGACAGTCCCTGCCTGACAGTCCCTGCCTGACAGTCCCTGCCTGACAGTCCCTGCCTGACAGTCCCTGCCTGACAGTCCCTGCCTGACAGTCCCTGCCTGACAGTCCCTGCCTGACAGTCCCTGCCTGACAGTCCCTGCCTGACAGTCCCTGCCTGACAGTCCCTGCCTGACAGTCCCTGCCTGACAGTCCCTGCCTGACAGTCCCTGCCTGACAGTCCCTGCCTGACAGTCCCTGCCTGACAGTCCCTGCCTGACAGTCCCTGCCTGACAGTCCCTGCCTGACAGTCCCTGCCTGACAGTCCCTGCCTGACAGTCCCTGCCTGACAGTCCCTGCCTGACAGTCCCTGCCTGACAGTCCCTGCCTGACAGTCCCTGCCTGACAGTCCCTGCCTGACAGTCCCTGTCTGACAGTCCCTGCCTGACAGACCCTGCCTGACAGTCCCTGTCTGACAGTCCCTGCCTGACAGTCCCTGCCTGACAGTCCCTGCCTGACAGTCCCTGCCTGACAGTCCCTGCCTGACAGTCCCTGCCTGACAGACCCTGCCTGACAGTCCCTGCCTGACAGACCCTGCCTGACAGACCCTGCCTGACAGTCCCTGCCTGACAGTCCCTGTCTGACAGTCCCTGCCTGACAGTCCCTGCCTGACAGTCCCTGCCTGACAGTCCCTGCCTGACAGTCCCTGCCTGACAGTCCCTGCCTGACAGTCCCTGCCTGACAGTCCCTGCCTGACAGTCCCTGCCTGACAGTCCCTGCCTGACAGACCCTGCCTGACAGTCCCTGTCTGACAGTCCCTGTCTGACAGACCCTGCCTGACAGTCCCTGCCTGACAGTCCCTGCCTGACAGTCCCTGCCTGACAGTCCCTGTCTGACAGTCCCTGCCTGACAGTCCCTGCCTGACAGTCCCTGCCTGACAGTCCCTGCCTGACAGTCCCTGCCTGACAGTCCCTGCCTGACAGTCCCTGCCTGACAGTCCCTGCCTGACAGTCCCTGCCTGACAGTCCCTGCCTGACAGTCCCTGCCTGACAGTCCCTGCCTGACAGTCCCTGCCTGACAGTCCCTGTCTGACAGTCCCTGCCTGACAGACCCTGCCTGACAGTCCCTGTCTGACAGTCCCTGCCTGACAGTCCCTGCCTGACAGTCCCTGCCTGACAGTCCCTGCCTGACAGTCCCTGCCTGACAGTCCCTGCCTGACAGACCCTGCCTGACAGACCCTGCCTGACAGTCCCTGCCTGACAGTCCCTGTCTGACAGACCCTGCCTGACAGTCCCTGCCTGACAGACCCTGCCTGACAGTCCCTGCCTGACAGACCCTGCCTGACAGTCCCTGCCTGACAGTCCCTGTCTGACAGTCCCTGCCTGACAGTCCCTGTCTGACAGTCCCTGCCTGACAGTCCCTGCCTGACAGTCCCTGCCTGACAGTCCCTGCCTGACAGTCCCTGCCTGACAGACCCTGCCTGACAGTCCCTGTCTGACAGTCCCTGTCTGACAGACCCTGCCTGACAGTCCCTGCCTGACAGTCCCTGCCTGACAGTCCCTGCCTGACAGTCCCTGTCTGACAGTCCCTGCCTGACAGTCCCTGCCTGACAGTCCCTGCCTGACAGTCCCTGCCTGACAGTCCCTGCCTGACAGTCCCTGTCTGACAGTCCCTGCCTGACAGTCCCTGTCTGACAGACCCTGCCTGACAGTCCCTGCCTGACAGTCCCTGCCTGACAGTCCCTGCCTGACAGTCCCTGCCTGACAGTCCCTGCCTGACAGTCCCTGCCTGACAGACCCTGCCTGACAGTCCCTGCCTGACAGTCCCTGCCTGACAGTCCCTGCCTGACAGTCCCTGCCTGACAGTCCCTGTCTGACAGTCCCTGTCTGACAGACCCTGTCTGACAGTCCCTGCCTGACAGTCCCTGCCTGACAGTCCCTGCCTGACAGTCCCTGCCTGACAGTCCCTGCCTGACAGTCCCTGCCTGACAGTCCCTGCCTGACAGTCCCTGCCTGACAGTCCCTGCCTGACAGTCCCTGCCTGACAGTCCCTGCCTGACAGTCCCTGTCTGACAGTCCCTGCCTGACAGACCCTGCCTGACAGTCCCTGTCTGACAGTCCCTGCCTGACAGTCCCTGCCTGACAGTCCCTGCCTGACAGTCCCTGCCTGACAGTCCCTGCCTGACAGTCCCTGCCTGACAGACCCTGCCTGACAGACCCTGCCTGACAGTCCCTGCCTGACAGTCCCTGTCTGACAGACCCTGCCTGACAGTCCCTGCCTGACAGACCCTGCCTGACAGTCCCTGCCTGACAGACCCTGCCTGACAGTCCCTGTCTGACAGTCCCTGCCTGACAGTCCCTGCCTGACAGTCCCTGCCTGACAGTCCCTGCCTGACAGACCCTGCCTGACAGTCCCTGCCTGACAGTCCCTGCCTGACAGTCCCTGCCTGACAGACCCTGCCTGACAGTCCCTGCCTGACAGTCCCTGCCTGACAGTCCCTGCCTGACAGACCCTGCCTGACAGTCCCTGCCTGACAGTCCCTGCCTGACAGTCCCTGCCTGACAGTCCCTGCCTGACAGTCCCTGCCTGACAGACCCTGCCTGACAGTCCCTGCCTGACAGTCCCTGCCTGACAGTCCCTGCCTGACAGTCCCTGCCTGACAGTCCCTGCCTGACAGTCCCTGCCTGACAGTCCCTGTCTGACAGTCCCTGTCTGACAGACCCTGCCTGACAGTCCCTGCCTGACAGTCCCTGCCTGACAGTCCCTGCCTGACAGTCCCTGTCTGACAGTCCCTGCCTGACAGTCCCTGCCTGACAGTCCCTGCCTGACAGTCCCTGCCTGACAGTCCCTGCCTGACAGTCCCTGTCTGACAGTCCCTGCCTGACAGTCCCTGTCTGACAGACCCTGCCTGACAGTCCCTGTCTGACAGTCCCTGTCTGACAGACCCTGCCTGACAGTCCCTGCCTGACAGTCCCTGCCTGACAGTCCCTGCCTGACAGTCCCTGTCTGACAGTCCCTGCCTGACAGTCCCTGCCTGACAGTCCCTGCCTGACAGTCCCTGCCTGACAGTCCCTGCCTGACAGTCCCTGTCTGACAGTCCCTGCCTGACAGTCCCTGTCTGACAGACCCTGCCTGACAGTCCCTGCCTGACAGTCCCTGCCTGACAGTCCCTGCCTGACAGTCCCTGCCTGACAGTCCCTGCCTGACAGTCCCTGCCTGACAGTCCCTGCCTGACAGTCCCTGCCTGACAGTCCCTGCCTGACAGTCCCTGCCTGACAGTCCCTGCCTGACAGTCCCTGCCTGACAGTCCCTGCCTGACAGACCCTGCCTGACAGTCCCTGCCTGACAGTCCCTGCCTGACAGACCTGTGTACGTGAAGTCCTACTTCTTAAAGCATGCAATGTATCTATCAAAAATCTGGAGGACGTCTTGCATGTATGCAGTGTATAATTATGTATGCAGTGTATTACATGTATGCAGTGCATGTATGCAGTGTATATAGTAATTATGACATTGTGTTACAAGCTACTAGAATGTGACACGAGGCTTTTAAAATCGTGTCCCATCTTAGCTTAGCGGAATGGTCTAAAACGGTAGCTGCGCGACAGAGGGCACCGGGTTGAAGTCCTGCTTGGAAGTGCAAGGATTTTCCACTCGTGCTGCAATGCGCACTTTTGGTGTGGCCTGATCACCACACGGCACAGTGCCACTGCTTTTTGAGGTGCATCGTAGCTCCGCCTTGATTCAGTAGACTGAGAGTGTTGAAATTCCCATCGGGATGTGGAAAGGTTAGCCTGACTGACTTTGCTGCCGTGGCTCTCTCACGTAATGTTCTGTGTGCATTTGTTCATCGCCATTTTACAATCTAAACAGAGAGCTACATTGGGGAGTTTTCCGCCTGATTATGAATCTCTCGCGAGCCGTTCGGAATTTAACATTACTCCTTTTCTTTCACTTGCTGAGTGCGTTTTGTGTATGCTCAAGCGGATGATTTGTGTGCGTTCTTGTTCATCCGTTGTGAAGGGAATATCTGTTCAGCTGTGTTGACACCTCGCTACCGGTGACAAAGCATATTGAAGGCAAAGTACACATCGTCTGTCCAGTGCGCGACCAGGAAGGTGCCGTCACGTCCGTTCTGGACTTTGAGCTGGAACCCGAGCGTGATAATCTGCTCCCAGTCGAGCAGGAGAAGCTGTCCAGCCTGCTGCAAAGGATGACCATTGCCCAGAACGACATCGGCGGACCGTTCACAAGCCTGGTGGAATGCTGGGAGAAGAGAGAGTCGAGTAAGTGTGAGACTGCTGCTTTTGCCTGGGTATTGCTGCAAGGTTGACTTTGTTTGCGACCAAGCTTCATGGGGAATCCCTACTAAACAGAACAATGCAGCAGCTAGATACGTAAGGGAAAGTTCCTACTGAATACAGTAGCAGTAGGAATTTCGGCCCATGCTAGTGGTGTGGTTGGTGCATGCCGTGAGAATTGCACTGATCTCGATACTGTCAAGGAGATATCATCATTTTGGGTAGCGTACATCTAGAGCCGTGCTGTTTCGCGACATGCATATCTTGCCACCGTTGATCGGATGCGAGTCATGCAGGTCATGTGACCACTGTCTTGTGCACCTCTCGTGAGCAATATCTATTGACGCGAAGATGACCGCTTGGGTATTAGTCCCAGCAAGACGAATGTTAATTATTGCGCTGGCGAAATCTTTTTTTCTTTTCTTTTTTAATTGTGTGCATTGTTACAGTCCTACAGACCAAGGTCGATTCGGAATACGAATCCTCGAGTTGTTTCGTGGACGATCTGAGTGCCAGAATTGCCTTCACAGCGACCTTGCTTGCCGATGTACAACATGCCTTGAAGAAGCTCAGCAAATCGTACGTTACCTGCCATGCACTGTCGAGTATTTCAACAATTTTAGGGCTGAACCAGTACCATAATTAATAAATAGAGCTCAAATGATCACACTGATTATTCATTCGTTGCGCACCTGTGACTGATGTACATCTGCACCTTCAAATATATATTGCGTGATCACTGGGTGAGATTGTGTGATCACTGGGTGAGATTGCGTGATCACTGGGTGAGATTGTGTGATCACTGGGTGAGATTGTGTGATCACTGGGTGAGATTGTGTGATCACTGGGTGAGATTGTGTGATCACTGGGTGAGATTGTGTGATCACTGGGTGAGATTGTGTGATCACTGGGTGAGATTGTGTGATCACTGGGTGAGATTGTGTGATCACTGGGTGAGATTGTGTGATCACTGGGTGAGATTGTGTGATCACTGGGTGAGATTGTGTGATCACTGGGTGAGATTGTGTGATCACTGGGTGAGATTGTGTGATCACTGGGTGAGATTGTGTGATCACTGGGTGAGATTGTGTGATCACTGGGTGAGATTGTGTGATCACTGGGTGAGATTGTGTGATCACTGGGTGAGATTGTGTGATCACTGGGTGAGATTGTGTGATCACTGGGTGAGATTGTGTGATCACTGGGTGAGATTGTGTGATCACTGGGTGAGATTGTGTGATCACTGGGTGAGATTGTGTGATCACTGGGTGAGATTGTGTGATCACTGGGTGAGATTGTCTATCCACCTTTCACCTAGCTATCTATCAAGAATGCGGCAACAGGTGAATATGGGGCTCACCACAGGAGTCACTACTTTTAATGCTATTCGCCTTTCCACTTTTCCACTCGGTGACGTGCAGAATGTTCTGGCCATTCTGCGTGATCAAGTTGTGATCACTATTATCAAGAGTACATGAAAACCAGAGTGTGCAGCTTGGGGCCTTTTCTACTATGGGTGTCCGTCACAGCGGAATTCCGTGATTACATCATATTTGGCGCAGATTTGAGGCGGAAAATGGCGTAGTGCATACAACTGAGTTGCAATTGTGCAGAAAGACACCTGCTTGTATGCACTACATCATTAAAATGATGTAATCATGGAATTCCGCCATGACAGCAACCATCCGAGCTGCACACTCTGGTTCTCATAATTATACTCTTGCTATTACACCCTCTCTCCTCTCTATGTCTCTCTCTGTCTCTGTCTCTCTCTCCACACAGTGATATCCACGAGTTCAAGACGTACCGAACCCCTCCCGGTGGCATTCAGCTTATCTTCTGCCTTGTGAAGTCCATGCTATCACTGGCTGCAGCAGGACAGCCAAAAATCTACTCCAACTGGGCTGAATGCCAGCAGGTAAGAGTTCAGGGAAACACCGTTTGATTCCACAATGGGACATTTGGACATTTGGGACGGTTATAGCACAGCGGTGTGCAGCACTCCAGCAAAAATGCCAATCATGTTCACTGTGTGTGCGTGTGTGTGTGTGTGCGTGCGCGTGTGTGTGTGTCCCGCACATGATTGTGTGAATACCTCATATCAGGCCATGGTGCATGACGATCTGAGGGAGCAGATGTTATCGTTTGATCCCCTGAACATGATTGCAAGCAGGGAAATGCTGGATGAGCTGGATGACATGCTTCTATCCGGTAAGTGTGGCCACTGGTCAGCAATCACTGCGGTACTGTGCATGTGGGGGTGCTTAACAAATATGCAGCCCTGGCTCAGTTATGCAAACAACGGTTGAGCACCTAAAGTCGTGTTCTGATAATCCGCGTCAATCCCTCTGATAGTTTAAATATCACTCTACAGTCTAAACTGGTCTACATTCACGCTCCAAATCTGCACTCCACATCCGCACTCCACATCCACATGTTACATTGGCACTCATGCGGCGGCAGCGACCTGAGTAATGGTGGCTGATAACTACAGCTTCCTCGCACGGAAACTCCCATATGTACAGACGCAATGTCTTTTCAGGTGATTGCCCTTCTTTGGAAAGTGCTGTGAACAAGAGTACAGGAGAATGATGTATGGGCATGATCTGTGGCATGATTTGTGGCATGATTTGTGGCATGATTTGTGGCATGATCTGTGACGTATGTTACTACACAGAACAGGGTTATTCTGAGTGGCTGGCATTTGGGTGTGCACTTGTCATGACTGATATGCATGTGTATTTGTCTGTCATGCACACACACGTACACACGCACACACGCACACATGTACACACAAACACACGTGCGCAGTGAGAATCGACCCAGCGGAGTTGGCGGCACCGATCGGCTGGGTGCACGAGTGGTGCGTGGCGTGCCTGGCACTGCTGCAGTGTAACCGTCGCCTGACCGCCGTGCATCAAGGACTCGACGATCTGCAGTCTGTGCCGACCAGACTGGCTGGACGACTGTGAGCAGGCATCGCATCACGTTGATCATGTGTTGGTAAAGTGTGGCTTGATAGCATTTCTTGACTTCGTTATGAGGAGAACAGTTGAATGTAAATTGTTAATCCCGTTGGCGGTATTGACTACAGTCCGGGCCTCTCAATGGTTTGGCAGCTTGAACATTTCTTGTGAACATTTGTTGTATTCTTGAAGATATGGAACTTCACACATAGGTATCAAGTCTCTTCTTTTTAGGGTTACAAACCAGAAAATTCGGCTTCGAAATGCTTGATTCTCCTTTATTATTTTATATTCAGGACATTGCCTCCGGACATTTCATTGTACTTTGAAGTAGTACCTGGTATTCTTGCAGGTCTTGGTTGAACAAAACACTTTTCATCCAACCCGCTAATATCTGCGACACCACTCTGTGATTTGCTGCCCATTGTGCTAATGGATTAATTGTTCATATTGAAGAAAATAATGTTTGGGTTGTGAGCTGCAGATTTGCCAGACTAGTAGAACAAAACACAAAACGTACTGTTTTTGTACCACAGAGGGAGAGACAGGAACACATCCACAGGAGCACATACAGCACATCAAAGCAAGCAAAAACGCCTTGCGGGGAGAAACGAAACGAGATATTTCCGATGCATTCTGCATGGCTTGCACGAAACGTTGTACTAGAAAGCTGTGAGTTGTGAAAGAACATGGTGGATCTTGACCGGGGTAGACGCTCTTGGTTTACTCAGTTGTCAGGTTGTCAGTTGTCTCCGGTAGTGGTGGTGATAGTGGGTGGCTTTTGAGCAACGAACAATACGCTATCGTAAAGCGTTTTCATCATCGAAAGTGGGTTTTGAATATACCCACTGCGAACTCCAACCTCTTCCATCTGTAGAGAGGAAGCAGAGAGAGGAAGCAGAGAATCAATGGAAAGGGGACACGCCAACAAAGCATTTACCAACCCAGCAGATGCTACAATGCCCAGCTGACTTGACTGGCTACTGATTGCAAGTGATTGGGTTTTACTACGTTGAAGTCTCTAAGTTAGGAAAGGGATTGCTCCTCACACTGGAGCTCGCGCTTTTCTGCAGACTGACTCTTGAGTGACTCACGACTGCCATCCAGAGCACACGAGAAGTCCATCAAACCTTCGACTCGGCAAACGTAGCTGCTCTGGATGATAGTGATGAGCCAGTCAAGTGTCAAGTCAAGTCGGCGGAAAAGCGCGAGCTCCAGCGTGGGGAGCAAACCCTCTCCTAACAAACCATCGTCGAAGTTGCTGCCACTAAATCGAAGTCTCTAAGTCTGTAGCATAAAAATGTGGTATTGGAAACCAGACACATGCATGCAAGCATACCAGGCTGAACACACTGCCTGTATCAAACAACTCTTACCAGTAGGTTGAAGTGGAACTTTTCCTTGAGGACTCGTCGAATCTGCTC